TCTCCAGTTCAAAGAATGGGGGGAGGTGTCAGAAAAGGTAAGGAAAAAAGATGCATACATGAACAATACATGAAAGACCAGATCAGGTTTAAAAAGCCTAAATATGAAAGCAGCAGTAGCACTCTTTCATGTGGTACACAAGAAAAAATAAGGTTGTGGTCCCGTATTCCTTATTCCCATGCTGAAAGATGATGAAAAAGTGTCCGAGTACAGAGAACATCTATAGTACAAGAAGTCTCTAAAGTAGACAGCTTACATATTAGAATGTATGAATGTGTATATTAACACTCAAACATAATTAATGATTTAAAGTGATACCTTATCTGATAATTGTGTTAGTATATTCACTCCTTTCGTAGCCAGGTCAATCTCTTTGATTTATTGTATTGAACAACATGTGCCAGCAATGGTGCCTCTTAGGATTTTTTGTTTGTTTGTTTTGGGGCACAAAGTCCCAAGAGGACCCAAGCAAAACAACAAAATTTGCTTGAATTTCTAATAAGAAAATACAATAGTTTTAAATAATGAAGCCTGTGAGCCTTAAATAACAATGCATGAAGCCTCTGAAGAGTACTAAGAAAACAATCAAACCTAATGGTTGCTCTCTAAAGTAATCTAGTTCAGATACTACTTATTGTTTTCAAGCAGATATTAATAGCAAAGTTTTTGTTTTGGAGAGAGAGGAGGTGGTAAGGGTAAAAAATTTAATCTGCCAAGACAAACCAATCTGCTGGTAAATTATATATAAAAGTTCTACAGTTTAATAAAAAAGACCCAAACCACAATGTCGTTCCATGAATAATCTCAAAATACTGAGAAATATTGGTTTTCTCCACAAACCAGAAACAGTGTTGTATTTACCTTAACATGCCACTCAGGATGAGAATTCATATAATCAAACAGCTTCTGATAATTCTGGTACTGCTGATCCCATTCTGAGCTCTCAGCATAGCGGAAATCATCCCCTAGTGGAGCCAACAGAACTTTAGTACGGAAAAGCTTTGACTTCTTTCTGTATTGATCTAAAATCATCCAAGCCCTTGAGGGGGGGGAAAAAAAGCACTTTAGAAAACAGAAGAATAAAGGTCAGCATTTGACAAAACAATTCTTAGACATCAAACTGCGCATTAGGGTGACCCTAAACAAGACATTCAAAACTCCTCTATCTCATTTTGTAACAAAAAGCTGGATGCAATTCTCCCCATTGGGACACTACATTCAACCTACTATTGTTACAAAAACTATGCTAATTAAATCCTCCAATAAGCTTATCAAGATCCATCTCAAACTGTAGGGCAGTCTGCATCAATCTGTTCCTGTGCCAAAACTAACTTTCAGTTTAAACTATGTTTACCTGCTTTATATTTAGATAACAATCCTAAACCTCTTCATCCTTTATTTACAATAATAAGCAAGCTCTTCTTATCCCCTCTGGTAATTTCCTTGGATACTTTGCTTCATATCTTCATGTCCTTGTCAGAAAAACTACCCATAAATATATCTTTAAGAAATTCCAGCCTTGGGAAAAAAAAAAAAAAATCTGGAGGAAGTTCACTACTAACAATCACTGTTCCCCCTTCAGCCAGCTTCTCAACAGTCTTAAAGCCAGCTCTCTTAAGCTTTAAGCATGTGCCCTGAAAAATTAAACCCACTACTTTTCTGGAACTGGCCTTTAAAAAACACCTAAATAAAAGTCCCACACAAGCACATACAGAAAAAAGAGGCAGTAAAATTATGCTTTGGCACCTACTAACTCTCTGACAGGTAAAGTATCAGTTCTGTCATTAAGCAGCAATGTATTAAAAGTTCCAAGTCTAATGTCTGGGTTACTGAAAAGGTCCATTCCTGCCCCCCTGCCCCCAACCACAATCACTATCAAAATCTTCAGATGCTGATCCTCAGTTATGAAAATAATTTTAGTAGGAAGTATTAACCATAGTAACATATTTAAGAAAACAGTAATACAAATGACCGAGTTTTAAAGATAAAATAGCAGCAAAATCTAGATTCTGGTCAGCTTTTACTTTCCACAAGTCTTTTTAATAGATGGTCTGTCGAAATCTACTTTCAACTCATATTCTTGAAGTTATGTTATACAAACATTTATGTGAGAACTGAATCTAGCCCAACATCTGAGAATTATATTTCTTTGACCAGCAAATCAGGGTTTATTTGTTTATCAGATCATAAAAGTACTGAGTAAACACAAGGTCTGTCTGTATTCTGGAGGGAGGAAGGGGTCACAACATCTTAAGGATCTACATAGTTCTGCTGAGACTAGAATAGACCCAACTAGTGGCTTCCCCATGCCTCTGTCTATAGCTTCATTCATAGTTCAGATTACCAAATATTTATGCTTGAATCAATGTTTTCCATCACTTTCAGCACGTTACCGATTTAAACCTAAAGACTTCCTCTCCACAAAACTAACAGAACAACTAGCACAACAAAGACTTTGTAATTCTACCTTCTAAGATGCCAGCCTAACTCAAATTTTCCACACACAGCACAGTTGGAAACATACATTATTTTAGAGCCTCTTGAAAAATACAGGACTTCTGGAAAGATTACAGTTAACAGGATATCTGACTTCGACATCTCTCTTCAAAGTTCTCCTCTAGTTTCTTTCCAAATCTGCTGCAAAACTTATCAGCGTTGCTCTTCTTTTCTTCAAAGTACTCATAACTGTAGGATCATTAGGTGTTTTTAAAGGGGCAGCAGGATCTTCCTCCATTGCAAACCAGTTTGAACCAAAAATACCAAAGAAAAATTAGATGTCTCAAGTCAGGCATATCTTCATAAGCTTCTCTCAAATAATGTCTTAAATCACTATTTCATACAGGAGTAAGAAAGAGTCAGTAGTAATCATAGAATCATAAGGTTGGAACAGACCTTTGAGATCATCAAGTCCAACCGTCGACCTAATACCACCATGCCCACTAAAACAAATCCTAAACTAAAATCCCCAGACAGAATTTGCTGAAGACAAAAAATATTTCTAGAGAAAAAATCAACAGATTCCACTGAGTCTCACCAGTGCTTTCCCCTTCTGGTTCCCCAGCAAGACAGTATTATCTACATTTTGATACATGTTTATCTTGCCTACCTGGATGGAAATTTGAAAACCAAAGAGATCAGTCATGATAAACTTTTTGTAGCACCATAATTATGGATGTAGCATATCAGCAGCAACTCCATTTTAATGGCTTTAAAAAGAAAAAAAACCCAAACCAAGAAATTCTTGGGTTTATAGAATCAAAAGTTCTTGGAATTGTACACAAGACAGATTATGTAGTTCTCAATATTCAGACAAACTGTAACTGTGTTCTCAGTTGGAAACACTGAATTATATCAACATAGTCAGTAACAGCATCAAGAATATTTTTCACCTTTCTTTAGGAAGTTTTCAGATGATCCTTGAATGCATAAGACCTTTCACAAATGAAGAAAACCCCTTCGTATCACAAGCGTGTTCTTTTAACACAAAAATTTCATGTATTTGGCTAAAACACATCAAAACAATTAATGTGGCTGGGTTTGCCCCTTTCTATGCCAACGGAAGAGGAGCAGTAGCCACCCAGAGTCTGTGGGAATCACAAGAAAGTTTGCAGCAGCTATAGCAAAGTCTTATGTGACAGGTTTGATAGAGGTCACGGCTTCACAGTCCCTACTACTACAGCCCATACAGCACATGAAGCATGAGGGACTCACTCTTTGCTCAATTATCTCGACTAGAAAACAAAACTATTTGGCGGATTGGCAATTTTCTATTCAGGCAATTTTGTGGAGGGGATGGCTATGCAGACAGGATGAGTACCTCCTAAGAGAGTGATCTCAAGATTCTTGAGGTTGGCAATCACAAACATTAACCATCAATGTCACAGCAACAATGTAATTCTGAATACCAGTTGCATGCTGTGCAATGTGACCAACCATAATGAGAAAAAAGCTAAAGAATAAAATTGGGCTCTTGAACAGTAAGGAGTGAATGGGAAAGTCCATTTTCCAGTCCTTCTCTGAAGTGCATAACTTGCAGTACAGATTCTTTCTTCTTTCCATGCATGGGAGAGAGACATACACCAAAACAAGCTATGCTTCCTCTAACAAAACAACTCATTCTCATTCAAGGAAAAAAAAGCAAACCAATAGCTGTTTTTTCTTGCTAGTGTGAAAAGCTCGAAACAACATTCAAACATATAGATAAGGATGCAGATGCAAAACAGGGCAAGTGTGACAGCAATCTTTATAATCTAAGCTGTTATGAAGTGTCATTAAACAAGTACAGGCTTTCAACTAGGCTGCTGTTTCATTCCTTCCTACCAAATGACAATTAAAGTGTCATGGCAATAAATCCAACAGCTACTAGTCTTAAGTTCTCAATTCAGTAACTCTTCAGCATATATGTATAACCATAATAGCATTGAAATCAAAAGCAACAGTCCCAGTTGAGTATTCAAGATCTGTGTTTTACTAATTTTGTTGCAGCTTTAGCATTGAAGAAAGGTCAGTGACCTAAACCTTGCCTCTAATTAATCAAGTGTGTATCAAATATTTTTTTCAGATCCATGTAGTGTAGATGATCTGTATTTTTCCAGTCTTAAAAAACAAAGCAGATACAAGGCAGATTAATTAGTGCTACAAACCTTTAACCTCGGAAAGTTTACGATGTAAAGACAGATTTTTCAATTACTTCTTGACCTCATATGTCTGCTTGTCATAACAACTGTAGAACTTCTGTTGTTATAGAGGTCAGACCAGAGTTTTTGGTTGTCTACAGTATTCCAACTTTTACACAAAACGTAAGTAGTGTTTTAGCATTCTCCAGCAAAACACTACTTCCTATATTTTACTGGATTTACCTGAAACTACACTCGCAAAGTATGGTTCCTGTGTTCCTTCCAGTGTTCCAAACGTAAATAATCCACACTCCCAACTCAAAGACTATGTGTTGTTCTTACTTCTCCCTTAGGTATTACCTACCATATGGCTGTTTCAACTCCCTGTTAGACATTGAAACTGTATTTATCTACCAAAAGCCGATGCAAAACATTCCATTTCAGAGACCATATAGAAATGATGATTTCTTAAATTTGATGATGTGTTGACTACATGCCCGTCACATTTCTTTTATTCTTTTACGAGGTCTAACTTAGATTGTTATGCAAAGGTTGCATCTTGGAAGTGCAGCTATAAATTAAGATCTAATTAAAGAAACAAATACTTAAAAAAGCATTCTGAGTAGGCTTTCTACATTATATTTATAGCCTGTATGTTCCAGGTATTTTTAAACAAGCTTTTACTCTTCTCTCAACTAATTGGTATACATATTCAAGATTTTTCTTTTTACAACTTTGATTTAAAGACACATGAACTTTCCTTCACCTTAAGCGCTGGGTGTGTCATAATGATTCTTCTATTAGCTCCACTGTTCTCCTGTCACCTTCAGCTTTCATTTTTCTACTTTCAAAGAAAATTGCTTTTTGGTATAATCATTCCAATTTCTACCTTAAAAATATGACAATTGTGATGTACTCTGGTTTTATCTTCAATAAAATTTTGTAACTGAATTTTATGGACAAAGTGAAGTTTTCAAGATGCTTGGCAAAATTCATACTCAGGAAAAGGACATGCAGACTTGACATGCAGACATCCAAGGCACGATCATCACTTCAAAACTTCAGCATCAAGACCAGAACCAAGAAGTCATCCTGTTATCCTTAATACGTTTGTTATACTCAGCAGTTCGCAACAACTGTAAACACCTATCTAAATTTCTAACTCTTGAACTTGGGGATGGTTTGAAGGCCTGAAGATAGTAACAGGACCATAGAATACAAGCTTTTTCTGGAAAACCCTTTAGCAGTTCTATCTTCCTTTTTTTTTTTTTTTTAATTTAGGGTTTTTTTTTCCCTTCCTCCCAAAATTGAAGAGTAGCTTTGTAATACTGTAAACTTGATTCTTACCCGTGGCAAAACAACTCAGTGTTTCTATTTGAAAAACAAAACTGACATTAATTTGTTTCCCTGTGTCCCCCCGGACATGTAAGACATAGGACTCAGAGTCATTTAAAGTGTTCCCTTTAGGAAACCTAGGCCACAGATTGCCAAATTTTGCAAGGACATGCCATGGCAAATCTCTGACCGTTTGCAGTTACAGCCTAATACGCTATGCTGTCCCTGAAGCTTTCCACTGGAAGGAGGCAGATCACTGTCTCCTAACAAAATTTGCAAAAACTAAGGTAAACGAGTAACATGACTATAACCAAACAGGTGACAATGCTCCGCATAGCATTCAAAGACACTAATAGTTGGACTCATGTATCGCCAATGGAAAAGAAAAAATCTAATGCATCTGCCCTAATTATAACCTATCTACAAATTTCACTGTCAATTATGTTCTGAATTTACCAAGAAACACTAGGTCAAGTAATATGTATTATTTTCCTATGACAAGTTTATTTTAAGAACTATATACATTCAGCAAGCTATGCAGATACCATCTTTGACCAAAGTAATTTTTTTTTTCCAAGTTATTCCCTTGCAGAATATGTAAAAAACTGTACCTGTGTTGAACATTTCCAGCATGAATGGCTTCTGGTGGAACTCTCCATGGACAGCTTACTCTTCCTCCAGGAAGACGTTTGAAATCAAACTGGCAACAGATTTTCGGATCTGGACCACAAGTATGAGGAATATCATAGCTATAGAAAGGCATCATATGACAAAGGATATCTGTACTGGATCCCAAATCTGGAATTAAATACATAGAGCACACCCTTTAAAATAAACCCTCTCAGATTCGCCAAAACTAAATCAGTTCCACGTTCTTAATCCAAGAATTGTATTAAAAGCATCAGATCCAGACAATTCCTTGCTTCGAGTACCTGTACCTGGAGTCTACCTTTGTATGTAGCTTACATATAAAGAGGCTAAAACTAGAAAAACAATGAAGCATCATCTGACTGGGGAAGGTAGGAACAAAATGTTAGGCATTTTTTTACCAACATAAATCTCATTATTTCCAGAGCGTGAGAGATGAACAAAACACATCTTTTATACTTTGAATAAATCAAAGCCAAACAAAAAAGCAAAACACAAAAAACCTCCCACCAAACCAAATCCCCTGCTCTCATTACCTCATTAGCACATTTGAATTTCTTGGCTTTAGCAATATCTTCATTTCTTGAACACGACTTCAATACATTAACAGTACTATTCTACAGACTTGTAGACAGATTCTGTGTGCTTGTGCATAGAATTACATAGAATTCTATGCAATTCTGAGACCATCTTTGCAATCCTAACTTTTCCATCTAATCATT